AAATATTCAAGATACTGGAAGAAATGAAATTAATAAGAGTTTAAAAAGATTTTTAAATTCACTAACTTAATCAACAAAATTTACTTTATACACACCATCAATAATACAGACAAGAAAACCAAACATAGAAGCTCAGAAGCCCATAACGCTCAGAAACATAATTTGGTAAACAATATAATAATAAGTCGCTAAAAACTTACACAAGGATTACAATATATAATCTAATAAAAATTACAGAAGGATTACAATCTAATAATATATAATCTAATAAAAACTAATACAAGAAATACAATATATAATCTAATAAAAATTACACAAGGATTACAATATAAAATCTAATAAATAATATAGTAATAACTCGCTCAAAAAAACTTAATAAAATGTTTTTTTCTCCATAAGAGATATTAATTTTTATATAAAAACAAGATCATTTTTTTAAATACAATATTATCATGAGACATAACGGTGTCTATTGGCAAACATATAACTTTTTAAATTATTTCTTTTAATTATACCAAGTCAAAATTGGTTGGTTTGTCTTTGACCAACACCTGAACAGTTGCCATTATCTTCAGTGTTGTCAACTGCATCCTCAATAATTACTACGTTGTCTGTATCTTCTAAACCAAGTAAATTGCACATGTTTTCGAGTATTGTACAAGTATAAATTATTGAGCAGCATTTGGATGGGGTATATTGAAGTGTTCCACCACTTTTATTTAGACACCAAAAAAACGTTCTATTCAACTTCGAACCCTTGAGTGAATTTTGTTAAACAATATTTCCTCTGAACCCTGAGTGAATTTTGTTAAACAATATTTCCTCAGGGTTTAATGCAGGACTAAATAGAGTAATCATGACAGGTGATAACCCATAGCCTGAATCACCGAAAAGAAAACCTGAAGCTGGATCAAGCTCCAATGTCTGTTTCAAAGTTGAATTTGAATAAACAAAAGCATCGTGAGACGATCCTGGAAATTTGATAACAGCATCTCGGAATTGTCCATCTGGATCAACAACAAACTGGCAATTTATAGCAGAATAGCCCTTTCTAAGAAATAAAGTTACACATTATGCTTAGTAAAATCAATGAATTTTTAAGAGTTAGAATACAGACTCTGAAAGTAAAACTTTTTACATCTGATCATTTTAAATCTTACAGAAAATAAATATAAATAAAAAATAATTACTTGCATCTAGTGGTTAGATGGTCTAGGGGTTGAATTTAAAGCATAACTTCAAATTCAACCCCAACCACATGATTTTCGAATTGGTTCATTCCAAAAAAAGAAGAAGTGTATGCCCTCTAAAAAAAAAAGAAGATCCTCAAAACTTCTGTGGGTGTTCTTAGCTAAAAAAATGGGGGTCCTTTTTTCTTGCCCCCAGCAGCTGAGATATAGACCCATAGCTGGAAGGAGATCATCAATCATATTATTTATCTATTATTCTATCTATATGTATCATTCCTACTTGAAGATTACAGTAAACTATTTTTTACCTGCAAATAAAAGCTGGCTCATCAGCCCCTGTGGCTCCTTTGATGGGCACCATTGTACCATCAATTAGACCCAAAAGACCCTTTACTCCCCAAGCATCAAAATATCTTCTTTTTACTTCAACCATTTCCTCTCGGCTACTGTACCATTTTACAAGATAGCTGTAGTGTTTAATAAAAAATTTACAAAACTGATGAATAACTCTACTGGTGCTTGTCTGGCTTATTGCAGAAGTGTCTCCTAAATTTAAATAATAAATTTTAAAAGTTTCATTCAGATGTAGAAACCTCTAAAATGTTTATATGTACCAAAACATTTTTAAACATTTATGGTTTTATACAAAATATGTAAACTCGGTTAGTGATAAAAGTTGCGTTAATTTTAAAGATCATATTAGGTTTTTGTGTCTTAAAAACCGACATTAAAAATAAGATCAGCTTATTCATTATTTTAGTATAACAATATTAATGCAGTTTTACATATCAAACACATAAATCAATATCAACATATTAAAAGTTCTTACTAATAACAATTTCAACATATTAAAAGTTCTTACTAAATAGTATTTCAAAAGCTTCCTGTTGCTAGAAATTCAAGGGCAACAAGAACTTTTGTTTCTGGTGAAATGGGATTGTTTTTATCTGTTTTTGGAAACAAATCATTTTTTAGAGTGTTAATAATTTCTGATATTTTATGCAATGGTAATCAATATTTTCGACGACATTCAACATCTGAAAAATCATTAAGGACAGTGCGCTGAGCTGTTCTCCAATTTTGATTTTGTAATTCAATTTCTTGAATCAATTGAACATCCATTTCAATTAAATTAAACTTGAATTTTAAACTAGTCAATATATATCTTTATGGTAATTTAATAATTATATTGCAAACAGGTATATTATATTTAAATAAAACATAAAACTTTTTTAATACTGTGACTGTTTGATCTAAACTCGAGTGGTTCTAATTGTTATTTGTTACATTGATATATATATATAAATATATATATATATATATATATATATATATATATATATATATATATATATATATATATATATATATATATATATATATATATATATATATATATTTATATTATATATATTTATACTTTTCTTGCTTAAAGTTTGCTGAGCACTTTTTAGGAAAATATTGTGAATATCGAATTGTTTACTTTTTGCGTAAGTTTTGACTTACGTAAAAACTTAAGATTTTGAACGCAAAGTTTGTGAATATGACTTTGTGTAACTTTGAACCTAAGCAAAAACTTCTGTAGTAGATTATTCCCACCGCCTGAATTATTCCATCCCCCTATGAAAAACTCAAAACGAGAATGCGCTTTCACGTTATAGCTGTTAGAAGCGTGCCTAACACGTCCGTGATTAACATAAACACCAAGAAAATACTCGCAGATGTTAATATTGCAGTATTTTTCAAATACTATTTAGTTATTTTGTCATTTTATGATTTCAATAGTTAGTACAAGAGTGAAGTGTTAATTCTGATAAATTTAGTTATCGTTGTTAGTATTTTATAGAACAATGTAAGTATCTATTCTTGTTAATCTTGTTTTTACCTTTAACATAATTAAACGCTAAAAAAGAAATAGTATGACAAATAATGATGTTAAATGAAACTGTATATTTATGCTCTATAAGTTATAAAGTTGTTTAATAATACTTTCCAAATGTCTTAATCTTAGTCTGTGTTATTACCTCCACCTAGTAAATAACTAAACATGCTTCTGAATTATTACCTCCAACTAGTTATTAACTAAATGCCCTGTCATATTGATATCGATTGACTTTGATAGAAACTATATAACTATATAACTTTAGGAACATAACAATGTGAAAATACTTTATATATGTTTCTATCTCTGTCTGAATTATTACCTCCCCCTTCTAGCAAATAAATGTATAAAAGTACAATACAAATGCTTCTACCTCTTCTGAATTATTAGCTCCCCTCTAACAAGTTACTAAATATGCGATGCTATGCTATTAATATTGAAGGATAATAATAGAAAATATATAACAATTTAATATTTGTAACATAACTATGTAAAAAAATTTTTTATAAGTGTCTTTATATCTGCCTGATTTATAACCTCTACCCTAGCAAATTTCTAAACAAACCATACTGTGATATTGATATTGACTGATATTGATAGAAGTTGTATAACTACATACTCTGAGGTATATAAATATGTAAAGATACTTTATAAATGTTTTTTATCTCTGTCTTATTTATTATCCTCTCCCTCTTTAGTATATCACTAAACATGCTTTTGAATTATTTTCTCACCCCTAGTAAATAACCAAGTATGAAATACTTTAATAAAATAATAATAAACTGCTGTTCAATATTTTTATTTTCCGATAAAAATGTCACCCCTACAAAATCCTTACTAAACATGCTTCTAAATAACTATTGATAAAATGTTTGTTTTTAATATTTTGATATATAATGCTTTATTTACAATATCAATACTTTATTTACATATTTATTGTGTGTTTGTATATTCATATATATATATATGCATATATATATATATATATATATATATATATATATATATATATATATATATATATATATATATATATATATATATATATATATATATTTATATTTGAACACGTAATTTATTCAATTCTTGTTTTCAGACTAAAAGGCTCGTGCAAGTAAATGAACTTCTTTTCTGAACATGAGGAATACACATTGTGTGGAACCATCGATTCGGCAAGCAGTTATCACATTTTATCTATAAAATAAATGATATTTTGAATTTTCCAGTTAATGTTTTAAATTAAAAGCAATAATAATGTTGTTGTTTGAATTTATTTAATATATTCTACCCATTTATCTATTTTCTGTGTTGGATTTTTTTTCGGTCCTTCAGATTTTCCGCAAATGCAGCAAAGTGTATCGCTCCATTGTTGCAAACCTAAAAATATTTTGATTATAGTTGTGTCATTTTTTCCTTTTTTTTTTTTTTCTTTACAAGTTACATTTAAATATACATTTTGAATTAAATTATTGTTTATAATTTGACAAATTTAAGGACAAACCTCCTTTATCTATAAGAAACTCTACAACTTCTATTCGATATTGATCTATTTCTTTGGTTGGAAAAAATTGTAATAAGTCTTTGTTATTAACAAAGTTTTCAGCAAACTAAAAAAAATCAAACTCATCAAATTTAATATAGGTATCACTGTGAAGCCTTATTTTTTGAGTACTTTATAGAAGAAGATATCACTTCCACATACCTTTAGACAAAAAACTCCACACGATATACTATCACTTTGCATTGCATGTGGCAATGTTAACATTTGAAACTTTTGAGAAACTCCATACCTTTGTTTTAAGTATGAACTAAATTGTAATGATAAAAATGCTTAATTAAAAAAAAGAAAAAAAGTCAGTATTAGTTCAGACATTATTTGTTAAATAAGTTCATACTTCCATTTTAGTTCTTGTTTTTTTACAGTGGTTATTGATTCGCCAAGAGGATTTATATAGAAAATCATCTTTTCCTTTGGTTTGATTATCTGGAACACAATAGAATACAAAAAAGGTGGGTTTAAATAAAAGTTTTTTTTTGACTATTTTGATTTTTTTGATTTTTTTTGGCTAATGAGAAGTTTTTATTTTTATTTTAAGTTAAATGAAAAACGTTAAATGAAATTTTTTTTTTTAATAATATTTGTTTTATTCTATTACTTTTTTTCTTTAGTTTTTGAATAAAAATTTACAAAAAAAGAAATACATCAAAATCTGGCTTACTGTTAGCGTCCAATGGAAGTTTGCAACAATACAGCACATAAGTATATCTATTTTAAACAACTCGTTCTAAATAATTTATAAAATTTTGCCTTTTATAAGATTGATTTTTAAACATTTACATAACTTAACAAAAATTTTTAAGTCTTAATTTAGAAAGGTTTCCTTTTTTTATATATAATATTTATTGATACCAAATGTAGTCTTTTAATCATACAATAGATATTTACATAAAAATGTTTTAAAGTTGTTGATGTATTTTTTTGCTTTGTTTAATTTTGCATTTATTTTTTTCTCCTTGTAAAGTTAAATTGAATTCCTTGTCTTTACATTTTCTATGTTTACTGTTTTTATCTTACTATTTTTTATCTTATATTTCCAAATAATGTTTTCAGAATGAAAAGGTATTTCTATAAGTGCATTTGTTGTTAGACTTACATTTATATACATCGCTTTGCGGAAGTGGTGTAGTGGTAAAACATTTGATTCATAATACTCAATCCCCACCATGTCCCTGGTAGTACCGCGCTCAACTTGTTTATCCGCGCAGCGGCCTTCTTCGTCAGGGTTCGTGTTTCAGAGTTATAGAGTTGAGAGAGGGTTATAACCACTATTAAGTAGCCTCCTTGTCTGTAATGGCCTTCTCGGCCTTTAAGAGGTGAATAACAAAAAAAAGATATATTTATAATTGATTTTAACTGGATAACCATCAATATAAAGGCCTAATATAAAAAATAATTAAATAAGTATTGTGACTTGTAATGGAGGCGTTAAGTGTTGCAATTTAAAAATAGGTAACTCTGATGTTGTGACTGAAAAAATAGGTACTACAACTGTTGTTACTTGCAAGAAGCTGCAGTGTTATGGACTAATTTTTACATCATTTTTGTAATAAATTTAATAAGTTTAAAATTTCTGTTTGCTTTTCCTCTCTCACTAAGAACCAGTATTTTTAACGGGTGTTTTTTCTTTTTTAATTTCTTTTTTTAATAGTTAGCTATAGCTCACCTTCTTGAATGTATCTATCATTAAAATAGATTTCTATGCAGTCTAATTTCTGCGATAAACTACTTTAATCATTCACTAAACATATCATATTATATAATAGCGAACATGTCAATGCTCATTGGAGAGTGTTTGGCACGATACTCTTGGCAGCCATTGCAATCGAGGTAATAACAAGAAAAAGTAGCAGTACTTTTTTATATAAGAAAAGTCAACAAAAACGTATGCTTATATCTAACATACGCAAATATATAACTTTCTTCAAATTATGTAATGTTAAAAACATACTAAACATATATTAAGCTTTTTAGTTTCACTTTCACTTAAAAATTGGATTGTGGCAACATTTCCTTAAGATTTGACCTTGAACACTTAATTGCGTTTGATAAAGTTTTCATTATGTTATATAGTTTTAAATTTTATTATAATCAATTATTGGCGTAGCCACGTAGTTAGCTTGGGAGGCTCTAATGTAGAGGGTCTGGGTTCAATTCCTACCATCAACTTTTTTTTTTAATTTAAAGTTTTTCGACTTTTCTAAAATACAAAGTAAAACGCTTTTGAAGAAAAAAGTTTGTTTCAAAAGAAAGTTGCTTAGTTTTGCATTTTAAATAACAAATATTCTAAAAAAATGCAAGCTGATGATTGGAATTTGCCACATGGCGACATTTAATTTTTTGAAACAGTAATGAGGCCAAAAAAGAATGTTTTTATTAAAAACATAATTAAATATTCTAATTTTATATTTAAAATAAACCATTTTATTACACTTATAATTTTTAAAAATAATAATAAGTTAAAAGTACATAAAATTAAGGTAACAAAGAAATTTAACTTGGACGTCTTTAACATAAGGCATGATAAGGCACGAGGCATTGTAGATGTACATGCTGTTAGTTTTTCGTTTTTTCTTTTTTACTTATAAATTTATGAAATATCTTTGAATCTTCAATTATCATTATCATAAACGATATAATTATTGAATATACTTTGATTTATAAATAGTATGTGTTTTTTAACTTTTTTATCTGGCTTTAGAGTTGCTAAATTTAATTTTTTAATGTTTTACTTATCAAAACATGTGTTGTTTTAAATTCAATTTGTTGAAATTCTGCCTTAACAGTTTTATAGTATCTAAAGATGACCTTATTTTAAATGTAAGTTTTTTTTTATTGTAGTTGGTTTTGAATAATTTAATGTTAGAATAAAATTTTTGGTTTTGAATAATTTTATATTCAATCTTGAATGGTTTTGAATGTTTTATATAAATCTATTTATTAAGTACAGTGGTATGGTGGCAATATTTAGGTTAGATTTTATAAAGTTTAATTTACTTTTAAAGAATCTTTGATATTTAATCTTTAAAAATTTGCTTTTTTTTTTTTACTTTCTAATTCAACATATTTTTTAGTGCTAGGTATTTAAAATTTATTAACAATATTTTGTTTGTTATTTTAATTTTAGTGTCACAGCTTAACACATACTGTAAGTTTTAATTTCTAATTTGTCTTCATCTTAAAAACTAATTTAGAAAAAATTTCATATTTGTTAATGATTGTAATATTCTATTTTATGATATATTTTACTAATAGTTTGATTGCTTTAACTTGTTTTTAATTTTTAATTTGATTACCTGTATGTTTTTGTTATTTATTATAGCCAATAAAGTTGTAGCAATCCCATCAATAATAGCTGCTGCGCCACCTTTATCTGCAGGTGGTAAACAAAGGATTTGTAGGTTTAATAATTAAGTATGAAGCTAAAATTTCATTTAGCTATTTTAATTACTACTTTTTTTTATTTTTATACATTTTTTTAAAGAAATTTTAGTATGCAATTTTTTTTTTTTTTTTTTTTATTTGCATTCACTCCCAACAAGGCTGCAAGCAACCACTATTAAGTTGGGAGTTACTAGGAAAAAAAAGAACAGAGTTATAGAGCAAGGAAACGGTTGACAGAAGACTTGAAAAGTTGAATGTTGTAGGAGTCAGGAAAACATGAAGATGGGAGAGAGTTCCAAAGGATTGAAGTGCGGGGAAAAAAACTATATGAATAAAAGTTTTTAGAGCATTCTGGGACAGATACAGTAAACGAATGAGACTTAGCTGAATGACGAGTAAAACGAGAATGAATTTTAGTTGATGGAACTAGAGATGATAACTCCTTTGAGCAGTGACCATGATAGTATCTGTAGAAAAGAGAAAGAGATGCAACTTTACGACGATGGGAAAGAGGTTTAAGCTTAGCAGATAGTCCAGGTCCAACAACATTTACAATGCGTTTTTGGGCCTTGTCAAGAAGAGAAAGTGAATCGTTAGAAGAACCAGCCCAAATATGACAACAGTATTCCATACAGGGACGAATAAGAGATTTGTAGAGGTAGGGAATGGAATCAGAAGTAAGGAAATGGCGAGCACGATAAAGAGAAGCAACCTTAGCAGAAGCTAATATAGCAATCGATTGTATATATGGTTTCCATGAAAGGTCAGTATTAAGCGATAATCCAAGAAGACGTAAAGAGGACGACTCAGTAAGAGGATTGCCATTCATTAATATAGGAATGTTGACCATACTACGGTAGTTGTTTGCAGTAAGCAATTGGGTTTTTTTAGAGTTGAAATTCACAAGCCACTGTGAATCCTGATCTATTACTGAAGTGAGATCAGATTCAAGATTAGCTGCTTGTTCTAGGCGATCGAAAAGAGAAGACTTTTTGTCAAGACAGGAGTATAAAGTTGAGTCATCAGCAAAAAGAGCTACTTTAGATGAAAGGTTGTCAGGAAGATTGTTTATGTAGATAAGAAACAAAACAGGGCCCAGGATGGAACCTTGGAGAACCCCAGAAGTTACTGAAAATAAAGAAGAGTGTTGGCCTTCAAGGATGACTTTAATAAAAGTTACTTCTTAAGAAGGTAAATTTGCCTTTTTTTTATTACTTTCTCATTCAACAATATTTTTTGTACTAAGTGTTTAGAATTAAATAACAATATTTTGTTTGTTATGTTATTTTTAATGCCACAGTTTATCCCATATTGTAGGTTTTAAATTTTCATTTATCTTTATCTTTAAAACTGATTTATAAAAAAATTAATAATTCCTTTAATTTGATTGAATTCTATTTTATGAGATATTTTACTAATATTTTAATTGCTTTGAATTATTTTTAATTTTCAATTACCTGTGTGTTTTTGTTATAGCCAATACAGTTTAAGCAATCCCAGCAAGAGTAGCTGCTGCAACACCCTTATCTGTAAATGGTAAATAAATAATTTGTAGGTTTTATAGTTAAGTATGAAACTATCAAAATATTTTAAATAACTTTATTTTATTTCTTCAAAGCTAAAGAATTTTTTTAAGAAATGTTTCTTTATTGAGTAAAGCTTAAAGTTGAGTGCGATTGTTCCTTTTGTTTTGGTTAATTTGTTTATAATTTAACATCTAATATTCAATTAGTTTTAGTTTTTTTAGGACATAAACATGATAATATATTGGCCACCCTGTATTAATTTCAACTTATTGAAAATTTTTTATTTTTTTGTTTAGAAAGACACGAATGAGAACTTATACATATTGAAAGAAACGTTTACAAGTAGGCACGGGCAAATTTGAATGTAAAAAAATAGTTTTTAAGACTATATGTCTCAATTGTTGTAAATGTGTACCTGTTTTTATGTGATAATATAATATTTTGACAAAATTGCAATCTCATAAACATTATTTTGTCGTATTTTTTTATGACCCGAAAGTAGTTTTTAATACACAAACTACATACATTTTATAGCACTAACTTTTATAACTAAAAGCATCTTTTTGGTCTGACCCAGAAAGCAAAATTTATTTTTCCTTATAATTTATTATATAAATATACAAGTGTATAAAAGTGTTTCTCTTGGAAAAGTTGTACATCACTACTTGTGATATACTTCTTGAAGAGAAAAAGTTGAAGTTAATAGGCTTTCTTGCAGTAAATGTCAACGAATGATAAAACCAAATGAGAATATTTTTTTAACAATGGTGTAACTGCTTTATGTTTAAATTAAGTTAATATTATTTCGTGTCATTTGTCCAGTCGTGATCATTTGTTTAACTGATCAGTTGATTATCAAGGAATTTTTATAAAATATATACCAAGTAAAAAAAAAAAGTCGCAGTGGTTAGAGTTCTGGTTTTGAATAAAGAGGTTTCCAGCTCGAATATGCCCATACATGCGATATTACTAAATGAAGGGGCGTGAACTTACTGCTTAATAACTTTAACCCGGCGCCCTATACTAAAACGGTTAGGTCATGTCGCAACAACTTTATAACCCATATAAACTATTGCATATAATATAAAGATTGCTTACCAATTTTACATTCATAATTATGTTCAAATATATTGGAAAAGTTACTGTTATAATATTAAAGCATAAATTTGTTTCTCTAAAAATTGTATCGTCAAAAATAAATTTCCCTTATGTGGACTTAAATAAAGGTGGGTTTCCACTTATCTATTTTTTCGCAAGGACGGATCAAGGGACGAGAAAAATAATCTCTTGGGCATGCGTAGTATAAGTTTTAATTTACCCGAAAGAAAAATACGCATGCTCACGTGGTTTTCTTTTCATCCCTATCCCGTTCTCGTAATAAAATAGATGAAATGAAAATTCTTAACTTCTTTTTAAATAACATTTTGCAACACAATGAACTACTGTGAAAAATATTGGTCTGGCAAAAACCATTAAAAAAAAACTTTATAAGTAAATGCAAATACTTCCTCAAGTTACTTCCTGTTGAAATGTAAAATTTCGCCCAGAAAAAGAAATTATATTTTTTTAAACAACTGCGGTTTACCATCAACTGCTTCAGCCCACAGTTTTTGAAACCAATAAAGAATTGAAAAAGGTTGAAATTTATTAAGTCGATTTCAAAATAAAGATGATAAGTCATACATTAAACAAAATGCTTCAAGTTAAAAAGAGCAAAGACGACACTTATTTTAATAATATATTTGTTTATCTTACGGAAAAAAAATATCCAGTTTTGTTTACAAAAAATGAAAAACGCAACCTTAGAAAGCTTTCTAAAAGTTACAGTGTCAACGGTATTTTACAATATTTATTAATTATATAATATAACTTGTATTTAGTTTATATTGTGTACATATCATAAAACGTTTTTGTTTTAAGATGGTAAGCTAAAGCGTAATGTATTGGTCTGTGGAAATTTATATCTTGCGGATGTTGTATATACCAAAGAAGAAAGAATAAAAGTATTTACTGTTGAACATGACAGTCCCTTAGGAGGGCATAGCGGCGAGACAAAAACAAAATTAAAAATACCAGAAAAATACTATTGCCCGAATATGAGCAAAGATATTATAACATGGGTAAAAATTTTTTAACTAAACACCTCTATTTTGAATGTTATTAAATGTTTCTAATTCTTAATTTTTCTTTTTAATAATTCTCTTTCTAATAAAGGCATTATTGAATAAACAAAGTTTACTTTCTTTAAAGGTAAAGCAATGCAAGATATGTCAACGGTCGGGAACGCTTCCTTCATCTGCGGTTCCATTACGTTCAATAAAGGTAAAGATAAGTAAATCTTTTTTTATATAAGCAGATGTATTAATAAATAATATGTAACAAAGTTTTATGGCAGTTGTATCAAATTTTTTGCATATAATAAAGGACAGTAAACGGGTATTGCATCAAAAAAAAAACACCCGATGTTAACGTTAGAACATTTTTGTTACCTTTCTTAGACAACACGTATATGGGAAATTGTTGGCATTGATTTTGCTGGACCATTTTGTGAAACAGCAAGGGGCAACAAATACTTTTTAAGTTGTGCAGACTTATTTTCAAAGTGGCCAGTCGCATATGCTTTACCCAATAAAGAGGCTGTTCCGGTGGCAAAAGCAATACTTAAGTTAGTCACAACATTTGGTTTTCCTTCGGCAATATTAACGGACAATGGAACAGAGTTTTGCAACCAGGTTGAGTCAAAAATTAACATTTATTTAACAATAAATATACAATTACACAAGTACTAACAAAAGTCAATTTTAACAAGTTTAACCAACATTTATTATTTATGTGTTTAGTTGAACGACGAGTTGTATAAGTTATTGGGGATCGAACGCAGAAAAACAGCTGTATATCACCCGCAATCAAATGGGCAAGATGAGAATACTAACAAAACATAAAAAGGTTTGTTTAGTTTTTTTTTTTTTTTTTTTTTGGATTATTTATTTCATTTTGCCCGAGACCCTAGACTAGGTTGAGCAAAAATGAGCATGTGACAACCAAATGTACGTATTATGGAATTTTTTATTAGAAAATTACGAAAACTAGTTTTTGAAAATGAATCGAATTGGGACGAATTCATAGATGTTGCTTTGTATCCATTACGCATGGAAAGACAAATTTCAACCAAAGTTTCTCCCTTCGAGATAATGTTTGGCGGCCGTCTGCCTGTTTATGATTGCAAAGATGAAGAAGTAAATATACTTGATTATATAAAAATGCATACATGCATGCATGCATACATGCAAACATACATACATACATACATACATACATACATACATACATACATACATACATACATACATACATGCATACATACATACATACATACACACATACATACATACATAAATACATACGTATAAATATCCACACTTTGGTAAATATTATCGTATATAGATTAGGAATTACTTTGAAACGACGGAGATGGAAATAAAAAGCGAAATGGATAAAAATAAAGATCGTATTCGAAGTTTAACAGATATAATAAATAAGGTTAGAAAGTGTAACTAATTTAGTTTAAATTTAATTTTTTTATTCCACAATACAATTGTATGTCCAGTAGCAAATAGAATTGAAATTAATTTAATTTTAATATGTAAAGGGCAACTTGTTTTTATGGTTGCTTTTATTTTTATAAAATCTTGATGGAACTGCAATGGCAGTGCAATTGTAAATTCAATATTTTATAATACTTCAGACGACTTCAGCTTTATGTACAGTAGTATTATGATCTTTTGTCTGTTTTTTTGCACAAATTTTGTGCAAAAAACAAATAAAATTCAGCTTTATGTACAATAAAACTTATGTACAAATAGGCTTCAGCAGTAAAATTTAAAATGTAAAAAAAGTTATGTTCCTAAGCGTTATGTAGAGTAAAATGTTGCTACGTCTGAATAAAATAACGACGAGATTTAAACTTTAGAATATTAAAGATGCTCAAAGGAAACAAAAAATAGACTATGATAAAAGAATATTTAAAAAAAAAAAGGAGTCGAAGAACCCATTAGTGAAGGAGACAGAATTTGGCTTTTAGATATAAGAGGTAGAAGAGCAAAAGGAGCATCCTTAAAACCACGATTCAAAGGCCCTTTTAATGTGAAGTGTATAACTAAAAGTGGAAACTTTAAGCTTACAAATTTAGATGGTGCTCCTATTCCTGGATCACACAAACGAATACAAATAAAAAAATTCATTGAGAACGCCACAACAGAAGGTATCGTTTCAATGTTGTTTTATTTTTTTACTTTTGTTTACGCTAACAGTTACTATATTTATTTATTTAAAATTGTGCTTTGTCAAAATTATTATAGTTTTAGGGCAAGCAGACGCAACTACGCCAGAAAATATTATGCTCAAACATTTTTCGAAAAACAGTACAAGTAATTTATTTAATTGTGTTATATCAAAATGACTTTTTTATGTTTATTGATCGTATGTTAATGATGGCTTTTTAGATGACCATAAAATTGATACAACCAAACACGAAAAAAAGTCGTATATAGGTCCAGAAAAAACAACTGAGAAGGGTATACAATTTGTGTCAAATGCTTTGAACTGCATTGAATTTTTTTATGTTAAATAAGTTGTAAATTTTAAATTGAATACAATTAATACATATTTATATCTTAGAGATGACTGATAATTTAGAAGGGTTTCAGATTTCGGAAAGGTTTGATTCATTTAAAAGCTGCATCGTTGAAAACAGACTAGGTAAGTTCTTAAACTATAAGAATGCAACTATAAGTTATATTTAAGATGCTAATGTGGTTTACAACGAGCAAATTTAAGTAAATAAAGGTCGCGTGAAACACTAAATGTTAAAATAATTTATTTTTGACATCTTTATTAATTTAATGTCCTATTCCAGTTTTATATTTCTTATGAAAACCTTTTGGTTAGAGAAACGTGTGTGCGATACATGCATAATCATGGAATTATCTTATAGGTTATGGAATGATTGAATGCCTTAAACGTTTAAAACCTATTAATGCAATAATTGGAATATATCATCAGTTAGGTGATTGTAAATTATACGACTAATCATTTCAAGATGCTCTGAACAATTGCCTAGGTGACGAAATCATTTATGTTTATTTAAGTTTGCTAGCTTACAATCAAGATAAGGTAAATCTGTAATTAAATGAGAAAAAACAAGTTTTGTTTTTAAATGAATTTACTAAACATTTTTAAATAATAAAATTCAATACAAAACTTTTATGTGATAATTACTTTCAATGCAAAAAATAAGTATTTATAATAGCAATTTTTAATGATCAAAATTATTTATATAATTAACATTAATAAACATATTTACAACGTTTTATGTAAATATCAATTGTATGATTTTAAGTTTGATTGCTAATAGAATAAAACTGAAGTGTTGGCACCAGCTGGGCTTCTATCACTGGAGGAAATACCTGCTGAAACAGAGTTGATTAAAAGACTACATTTGGTATCAATAAATATTATATATAAAAAAAGGAAACCTTTCTAAATTAAGACTTAAAAATTTTTGTTAAGTTATGTAAATGTTTAAAAATCAATCTTATAAAAGGCAAAATTTTATAAATTATTTAGAACGAGTTGTTTAAAATAGATATACTTATGTGCTGTATTGTTGCAAACTTCCATTGGACGCTAACAGTAAGCCAGATTTTGATGTATTTCTTTTTTTGTAAATTTTTATTCAAAAACTAAAGAAAAAAAGTAATAGAATAAAACAAATATTATTAAAAAAAAAAATTTCATTTAACGTTTTTCATTTAACTTAAAATAAAAATAAAAACTTCTCATTAGCCAAAAAAAATCAAAAAAATCAAAATAGTCAAAAAAAAACTTTTATTTAAACCCACCTTTTTTGTATTCTATTGTGTTCCAGATAATCAAACCAAAGGAAAAGATGATTTTCTATATAAATCCTCTTGGCGAATCAATAACCACTGTAAAAAAACAAGAACTAAAATGGAAGTATGAACTTATTTAACAAATAATGTCTGAACTAATACTGACTTTTTTTCTTTTTTTTAATTAAGCATTTTTATCATTACAATTTAGTTCATACTTAAAACAAAGGTATGGAGTTTCTCAAAAATTTCAAATGTTAACATTGCCACATGCAATGCAAAGTGATAGTATATCGTGTGGAGTTTTTTGTCTAAAGGTATGTGGAAGTGATATCTTCTTCTATAAAGTACTCAAAAAATAAGGCTTCACAGTGATACCTATATTAAATTTGATGAGTTTGATTTTTTTTAGTTTGCTGAAAACTTTGTTAATAACAAAGACTTATTACAATTTTTTCCAACCAAAGAAATAGATCAATATCGAATAGAAGTTGTAGAGTTTCTTATAGATAAAGGAGGTTTGTCCTTAAATTTGTCAAATTATAAACAATAATTTAATTCAAAATGTATATTTAAATGTAACTTGTAAAGAAAAAAAAAAAGGAAAAAATGACACAACTATAATCAAAATATTTTTAGGTTTAAAACAAGGGAGCGATACACTTTGCTGCATTTGCGGAAAATCTGAAGGACTGAAAAAAAATCCAAAACAGAAAATAGATAAATGGGTAGAATATATTAAATAAATTCAAACAACAACATTATTATTGCTTTTAATTTAAAACATTAACTGGAGAATTCAAAATATCATTTATTTTATAGATAAAATGTGATAACTGCTTGCCGAATCGATGGTTCCACACAATGTGTATTCCTCATGTTCAGAAAAGAAGTTCATTTACTTGCACGAGCCTTTTAGTCTAAAAACAAGAATTGAATAAATTACGTGTTCAAATATAAATATATATATATATATATATATATATATATATATATATATATATATATATATATATATATATATATATTATATATATATATATATATATATATATAGATATATATATATATATATATATATATATATATATATATATATATATATATATATATATATATATATATCAATCTATCTATATATATATATATATATGTATATATATATATATATATATATATATATATATATATATATATATATATATATGTATATATATATATATATATATATATATATATATATATATTTATAAACATATATATATATATATATATATATATATATATATATACATATATATATATATATATGCATATATATATATATATATGAATATACAAACACACAATAAATATGTAAATAAAGTATTGATATTGTAAATAAAGCATTGTATATCAAAATATTAAAAACAAACATTTTATCAATAGTTATTCAGAAGCATGTTTAGTAAGGATTTTGTAGGGGTGACATTTTTATCGGAAAATAAAAATATTGAACAGCAGTTTATTATTATTTTATTAAAGTATTTCATACTTGGTTATTTACTAGGGGTGAGAAAATAATTCAAAAGCATGTTTAGTAATATACTAAAGAGGGAGAGGATAATAAATCAGACAGAGATAAAAAACATTTATAAAGTATCTTTACATATTTATATACCTCAGAGTATGTAGTTATACAACTTCTATCAATATCAGTCAATATCAATATCACAGTATGGTTTGTTTAGAAATTTGCTAGGGTAGAGGTTATAAATCAGGCAGATATAAAGACACTTATAAAATTTTTTTACATATTTATGTTACAAATATTAAATTGTTATATGTTTTCTATTATTATCACTCAATATTAATAGCATAGCATCGCATATTTAGTAACTTGTTAGAGGGGAGCTAATAGTTCAGAAGAGGTAGAAGCATTTGTATTGTACTTTTATACATTTATTTGCTAAAAGAGGGAGGTAATAATTCAGACAGAGATAGAAACATATATAAAGCATTTTCACATTGTTATGTTACTAAAGTTATATAGTTATATAGTTTCTATCAAAGTCAATCGATATCAATATGACAGGGCATTTAGTTAATAACTAGTGGGAGGTAATAATTCAGAAGCATATTTAGTTATTTACTAGGCGGAGGTAATAACACAAACTAAGATTAAGACATTTGGAAAGTATTATTAAACAATTTTATAACTTATAGAACATAAATATACAGTTTCATTTAACATCATTCTTTGTCATACTATTTCTTTTTTAGCGTTTAATTATGTTAGAGGTAAAAACAAGATTAACAAGAATAGATACTTACATTGTTCTATAAAATACTAACAACGATAACTAAATTAATTAGAATTAACACTTCACTCTTGTGCTAACTATTGAAGTCATAAAATGACAAAATAATTAAATAGTTTTGAAAAATACTGCAATGTTAACATCTACGAGTATTTTCTTGGTGTTTATGTTAATCACGGACATGTTAGGCACGCTTCTAACAGCTAAACGTGAAAGCGCATTCTCGTTTTGAGTTTTTCATAGAGGGATGAAATAATTCAGGCGGTGGAAGTAATCTACGACACTTCTCACTTAGGAAAGTGTTGTAAATTCGCATTCTGGAATTGATTTTCCAAATTAAATATATATATAAAATAAATTGTCGGGTTTAATCTTTTTTCTTAATAGTCGGGTTTAATACTTTTTTTAAAATTATTTTTTAAAATTAATGTCACTACTTTTTTATATATACATATATAAACTTACGTATTTGGACGACTTTAAATGCTTAATTATTTATATATCAATATATAAATATATATATATATTTATTATATATATATATATATATATATATATATATATATATATATATATATTATATATATATATATATATATATATATATATATATATATATATATATATATATACATATATATATATTTAAATATATGTATGTATATATATATATATATATATATATATATATATATATATATATATATATATATATATATATATATATATACATACATATATAAATATATATAAATATATTTTTATATATATGTATATATATTTATAAATATATATATATATATAAATATATAAATATATATACATATATATATATATATACACACACATATATATATATATATATATATATATATATATTTATATATATAGATATATATATATATATATATTATATATATAAAATATATAATATATTTATAATATATATATATATAATATATTATAAAATATATAAACAATAAAATATATAATATATATATAATAGAACTATTATTTAATACTAGCAGTAAGCAACCCGTAATACGGGTTGATAGTAAGTAAATTATAAATAATACGGGTTATTAGTATCATAAATATCAATTTATTATTTTCTCTAATGAAATATAAATTTATTTTATATATTTTTAGTTCTGCTCACTTTTAATGTTCTCGGCTTCTAAACATAACTCTTAGCTTCATTTAAAGATACAATTAACCATTTATTTTGATGTCGAACATATTGCGCTAATCAAAACAAACTAAATATAATATGACTTAAATTATATGCATAGTAAATTATCCATGTCTTATTTTGAAATTGCGGAAAAATGTTGAGGCAACTAAGTTGTTTGTAATTCTATTTTACAAAAAGAATTTTTCTTAATTTTTATAAAAGTGATGAGTGAAAAGCTTAAAAAACAAATATCACAAAAATTGAACCTAAATTTATACGTATAAAAATTGTTTTGGATATCCGGAAAGACTATAACTTAAAAAATATATCAGATATTAAGCAAAAAACTAATCACTGTTTACGGCTCCCATATTATTAATGCTTATTACTTTAGCTTTCAAAATACGATTAGCGAATATATCTACTTCATAGTTAACGTATATCAACATACTTATTTCAGCATTCATCCCATCCAAGTTTATACTAACGCAGTAAATATTTAGCAAAAATCGGAAATATATTTCGCCTTGAGTTTGTCTTACCTTTTTATCATATTTTGTGTAGGTCAGGTGAAATAAAAACAATTGCTTTTACTCGACATTATTGAAGTAATTGTTACGCTTTACGTGAATACAAATTTTTAACTTAGCTAAATCAACTTAGGTGGACTTACTTAACTTACGTAAATAGAAACTTTTAACCTACCTACCCAACATTTTATGATTTTTTTTTTTTTGAATTTAGTGTCTTTTTTCTTATATAATTCCCCCACTGCCCTTCCATCCCATATTCGCCATTTGCAGACCCCCTCTACCCTCAGAGTATTTTATGGACAATCCCTAATGAGCTAAAAAGGTTATAAAACAGATGTTAAAACCATATAAAACAGTTGTAATATATATATATATATATATATATTTATATATATATATATATATACATATATATATATATATATATATATTTATATATATATATATATATATATATATATATATATATATATATATATATATATATATATATATATATATATATATATTTATATATATATATATATAAACTTGTGTTCACTTTTTGAAAAATTGGTTAAAATGCAAGTCATACGTTTACATATCTCTTAAACAAATTTATTTACATGATATATAGTTAAATATGTAACAAAAATATTTAAAAAAAACTCTATATAAAACACATTTTTCTTAAACAAGAATTAACGTTGAATGCACTTTTCAAAATCAGTTATAACAGCTGCCATCTACAGGACTGAGGAGTCAAGCATAGCCTATTGTACAGAAAACCATATTAAAATAATTTGTTTATCTGTATAGCATGTTTATCTGATCTCAATAAAAACCAAATTAAAAGTGAAGAAAATTAAAGTTTAATAAGAATCAAAGTTTAATAAAATATTGTATATTAAATATGGGGAAGTTTGAAATAAATTAAATCGATTATAACTTGAAAAATAAGAAAATCAAACAAAATCATAGAATGTATATATTTATATATATATATATATATATATATATATACATATATATATATATATATATATATATATATATATATATATATATATATATATGGTATATATATATATATATATATATTTATATATATATATATACCATACCTCATAATTAAGGTCGACATTCGGCAATGCCAACTTAAATGTGCATAAGGTCAGCAAAAAAGCACAGATGTCATTTTGATGTTTTAGGATAACTTCTTCGTGTCTGTTATTATTGCCAATTTCAAACAGTTCAAGGTGGCAATAAAAAGTCGACCTCATTTTTTTCAAGGGCTAATATATATACATACTGTTAGAAAAAACAAAAATTATTTACAAAATAAATAATATCAACAAAATATAAATATTTATATACACACACACATACATGCTGTTAAAAGAAAAATTATTTACAAAAAAAAAAAAAAAATGTGTGTATATATATACATATATACATATATGTATATATATATATATATATATATATATATATATATATATATATATATATACACATACATACTGTTAAAAGAAAAATTAATTACAAAAAAAAAGAAGAAAAAAAAGAAAATGTATATATATATATATATATATATATATATATATATATATATACACACACACATTAATAAAAACTAATTTATGTCTACTAATATTTCAATTGTAGACATGAAAGTTTTTTATTATTCCCCCGGTCCTTCGACCCCTGTGTGGGGAGTATCGACCACCCAATCTAAATGATTGGGGGTCTGACTCCCATACTGCACCCATCTTTGAAACGATCTTTGGGTCAAAGGACCAGGCTTGCTTTGGCGATAGCATTTGTAATCTTCATATGTAAGTTCTAAAAATAAAAATTAATTTATACTTTAATAAATTTAACTGAAAGAGCAAAATTAGAATAAAAAAAATGCCCTCAATCATTTTTTCTTAATTCTTTTATTCATAGTCAAGTCTTTACCCCATTAAAGCAGATAATATTATTGTAAGCAAGAATTTAAAATTACCGTTTGGTGCTTTAACTTGAGTACCTAAACATAATAAATATATATCTACAGATTCTTCTTCTTTGCTAAAACATAACTAAAAACACTTAAAAAAGACATAATAAAATTTCACCATAAGAAGAGCTGGCTGTTGATAATTCATCTAGATAAAAAAAAAACTGTTAAACAAACATTTTTTTTCTGAACAAACTTAACAAAAAGATATAGACAAAAATGTTAAACATAGAAATATTTGTAAATTGAAAAAAAGTAATCCTTTAAAAGTAGGAAAACAGTACGTCATCGAGTTAGGCTTGGTAACTCGATAACGCTGGTAATCTTCATATGTAGGTTTTAAAAATAAAAATTAGTTTATACTTTAATAAATTTAACTGAAGGAGCAATATTAGAATAAAGAAAATGTTCTCCATCATTTTTTCTTAATTCTTTTATTTATAGTCAAGTCTTTACTTCATTAAAGCAGATAATACTATTGAAAGTAAGAATTTAGATTTACCGTTTGGGGCTTTAGCTTGTATACCTAAACATAATAAACATATATCTACAGATTTGTCTTTCTTGAAATTTTATTATGTCTTTAGAAAAGACATAATAAAATTTTACCATTGGGAAACTTGTTTGTTGACAATTCATCTAGATAAAAAAAACTATTAACCAAACATTTGAATTTCTTTTCCCAACATATGTAACAAAGATATATATAAAAATGTTAAAAAAATAGTTAAAATGAAAAAAATTATCCTTTAAAAATATGGAATCAGTATGTACAACTTACCAACTCGCCTTTGCAGAAGAACTTAAAAAAAATAAAAACTTGAAAATTTCATATAATTCCTTATATATATCTTGAATGAGATTTAGTATATTATTCATAAGATAAACATCGGTAAATATATAATTTTATATATTGGTAAGTACAGTATTTTATTTATTGTTAATTATAATTACTTTACATGGTTATTGTGTATAGTGGTATAGTTATAAGGTCAAATGTACCTGGTAGTACTGCACTTAACTTGTTTCTTAGCACAGCGGCCTTGTTTCACTATGTTTGTGTCTCAAAATTTTAATTTTAAGTTGAGAAAAGGATGCAACCACAATTAAAGTAGCAAGTAGCATCCTTAACTTTAACAGCCTACCAAGCCTTGGGGAGATAAAAACATATGATATATTTTTGCTTACCAATCTGTTGCCTTAGAGCTGAAATATATATAAAAAACTTTTTATTTAATTTGTTATTTAATAAAAGTAAAAAGTGAAATCTGAATACTAATATAACTTACTTGATACTTCATTGATATCTAAAAATATTGACATGCTAATATAAAGATTTGAAAATGTTTGACCCAAGCAAAAAAAATAAATAATTAGTTACCTGAAGAGACTAATGATGCCGATGCAACAGCTAAATAAAAAACATAATAAAAAAAGGCAATTTAATTTCGATTATAATATTCAAAAAAAACAATATTTAATACTTGTCTTTTTTTAAGTAACAAATCAAAATAAAATGTTTTTCAAGTAACAAATAAATAAAAAAATGTATCAAGTTAGCAGAAGTGGCGGATGAAGCAGTTAAAACATCTAAATGAAAAATATATAAATATATAAAAATATATATATTGTAAAATCCTGGAGATAATGTTCCAATAAAGAATGTTTATTGCTAGTTTTTTAAGAAAATATATGTATTGTTACTTGGGACGGTCAATGCTGCAGAAGAAACAACTAAATGAAATGAATAAATCAATAAAGATAATTTATTTAAGCATGATGTTAATAAACATTTTTCATTGTTAAAAATTAAATGTATAAGTTAACCTGGGGAGGTTAATGCTACAGAAGAAATAACTAAATAAAAAAATATTAAATAAAAAAAGCTATTTTAGTAATGTTCAAATAAACAATAAATAGTAATGTTCAAAAAAACAATAAATAATAAGTAATGTTCAAGTAAACAATAATTATTCAAATAAATCTCTCTTCTTGTTTAATAAAATAAAAGATTTTGTAAAAGTAAAATAAAGACCATTTGTAAAAGTTGCTGAAACAATACCTAAATAAAAAAAATCTATATTTGACTAATATAAAACAAATTCAATGATATAATGCTATTTCGATGGAAAAAGCTGAAATAAAAAAGAAGCTTACTGCTCTCAAATCTACAAAAATAACAAACCTACTGAGATCTATCTGTCTGTCTAAAAAATAAAAATTAAACAATAAAATCAAAACAAAAATAATTTTTAATAAAAACGTATTTGTTGATTTAATAGCGTAATTGTTAAACAATAAATTAAATCAATAGCTATTAGAGAAAATGGTATTCCTACATGAAACTAATCTGATAATTTATTTAGTTAATAAATAATAAAACATTCTTATTTCGCTGTCAGCTTGTCTGTCTAAAAAATTTTGTTCTCATTAATCCTTCTCCAAACAAAAAATAAAATATAAATAATAAAATGAATTAAACTTACTAAATAGGTCTTCGATTGCTTCGAATGGTTCTGAAAAATAAAACAATAGTTGTTGTAAAAACAATCACTGTTATAAAAATATATTGTACTAAAACAACTACTATACCAGTCATTTTTAATTTTTTAAAAACTTCAGGGTTAGGGTTAGGGTTATATCGTCTCGGTGTAAAGCATTCACCGAACGAGTTTATTCTTCTTTTTCATGAGAAAGCCGGAGAAATTTATCGTTATTGTAATTACCATTACCATAAGTTCGTCACACAACATTATTTAGGCATTATTTGTATCTTTAAACTTGATAATAGTTGTATTTTAGTTAAAAATTAGTTAAGATGTTGCTTGCAGTTATTAAACAAAATAACTTTAAAACATTGTTGGCCCCGAGCCCCAGGCCTCAACATAAGCGTTTACGAGGCCTGTTAATACAGATGGCTATGGAATGTGCATAATAAAATTAAATGTCAAATTAACAAAACTTCATTTTAGACAACTAAACGACACCTCTTGCCGACTGGATTGCTCTTTATTTTTTCCGCGTTAGAAACAGATTTTATTGCGCTATTAGCTGACAAATTAGAGTTTCAATACCTTTTTAACTATTATGTGATGAAATAAAGATCTATTTATAGAACTAAATCAAAGGTTTCCTTTAAAAAAGTCTTTGAAAATTATTGAACTCACAAGGGTTAGAACACAAAAATTTATAAATTAATTACTATTAACAATATTATTCAAAAGTTAAATACTAATTTAAATAAGTAAATTTTTCATATAAGTCAGCAGAAAAAATATCGAAGTTTTGTTTAATACTTTCAGTATAGTTTTGTAGCTTTAAAAGTTCTTTCTTAAAATATTTTAAAAGGTGTTCATCTCCACAGTTTGAAATGAATTTCACAATATCTCGCTCCGATTTGTCAATTCTTTCATTAAATAGATTAGATTTTAATTTCCTCATAATGATAACAGCTCCATTAAGCTTTAGTTTATTTTCGTTCATCATAATATGATGAAACAAAGAATAGTTGATAAAGTTAAATTGGTCATTGCCAATACAAAATGTTTTGATTATATTTGAGTTCATTTTAAATTCGCCAACTCGAAAATCTATCATTATGGCACCCTGTTCATTGTTAAATTTAATGAAAGCAAAATTAAAGAGTTCGTTGAGCAGTCGGTCAGCAAAAAAATTCGAGATAAAATGTCAGCTAAGCTAAGTTCTTTTTTAAGGCACTCGAACAATTTTTCATCAAGTTTCCGGTACTTTTCTTTAATTGTTTGATTTAAAATCTCGTTAATAGAATAGTCTTCAGCTAGTGTAAAAGGAATATTAGCAGGTTTCACCTTATCATATGGGCTAGAAAGAAGATTTAGAAGATTTGAACCTACAAAAATAGAAACAGAATGAAAAAAATCAAACTAGATTTTTTTTTGTATAACATTTTTAATCGATCTAACCTGCTTCTAGCGAGGCGATGTAAAATTCCTTGACAGGATCTCTGTTTCGAAAAAAAAAAATCAATTTTAGTCCAAGTCTTAAGTTTTCTAATGCTTTATAAGCAAACAATTCTTGGATTACAACAGGTTTTGAGGCTGCTGAAGAACCCGTTATACCCCCTTCTTGATAGGTTTTTATGTAAAATTTAGAAACTACGGGTTTATTAACTATATCATTTGTATAGTAAACACTTGCAATAAGTCCACTCTGGAAACCTGCACGTTTCGCTGTTAATTTAATATCGCTTATTTTAACGAAAACAAACGTCGCCCAATAAAAGACTTAGCCAATGCGTGCAAATTACTTTCGTGACCAACAGTTACATTTTTCAAATATTCACCTATTAAATCTAAATCAGTTTGAGTATCTGGATTTTCATTTTAAAAAGCATTCTTTTTAAAAAAGTGTTGAAAGATTGTGTAGCCTATGGCCATTGCATTGTTTTTTCTTAATTGTTATTTTATTTATTTAACACCCAATGTAATTTATATCCAATATAATTTATAAACCAATGTTATTTATAATAAGAAAGTTATTTCTCGTGATTTTCATCTAAGAATTTTTTCCTCCAGAATTTGTTTAAAAATTTTTAAATTTTTGCTCTTTCGCATTCTAACCCTAACCCTAACCCTGAGGGAATTTCACTTTTAGAAAGTGCTATTTTTATCTTCTTTTTATTTTGAATTAAGTTTTGAAAATTCAGCATCCGAAAACGGCATATGTCCTGGATATCGCCAACAAACGAATGTTTATATAAGGGGTGGTTCAGTTGTGAAAAGATGATGCCTGACGAGAAAAGACGAAGAAACAAGTTTAATTAATTTTTTTGAATACTTTTAAACTGATGCAAAAAATTTCAAATGATCAAAATACACTTTTCATTATTCTATTCATATTAATAATGAAAAAAAAGTGCAAACTTGTCATAGTGGACAAAAGTGACCGACAGGTTAAGTTGTTCCCCAGATCTGATTTTACATTTTATTTAATTCAATTTACCTTGGTAGACACCGTTTATGACATTTAGAACTTCTAAAGAGTTGGACAAAATCAAAACATTGTTGTTTAAAAATGATTAATTTAAACTATAGAACTGTTAAAAAAATCCGATTAAAACTCAATCTGAAAAAACTCAATTCCCAAAACTATTGTGGCGTGAAAAATGGCGAACTATTTACGCTAATATTATTCCTGCGATTGAAACAAAGATTGAAACTTTTGTCTGGAACCAATATAGCTTAGAAGTAGCCATTAAATATATATATATATATATATATATATATATATATATATATATATATATATATATATATATATATATATATATATATATATATTTATATATATATATTAAAATGCATGCAAAAAATTTATAACATTCGCTAAGTATTAGTTTATAATTTGTTTATTGTAATTACTTGGTTTTCAAGTTTGACTTTTTAAATGCATGTTGTTTTCACGCGTTTTTCATTGCAATTATTATTATATATTGTTTTGAAATTTAATTTTAATTCATTTGAATAATTATTATGGCTTGTTTTGAGTTTGTCTACTGTATTACGTAACAGTTATACAGTAAACAAACTCAAAGCAAGCCATGATGCCTAACAGAACTGCCATTGAAAATTGAGGGTTTAAATCTTGTGTATTTCAAACTGATGAATAAGGTAAAGTAACTTTAGCTTTGTGTAAAACTTGGCGAGAGCTTTTAAAAAATTGTCATAATAAAAGTAAAGGCTGTGTTAAATTTGCAACAGAAACGTTTGTACGGGGAACATGATTTTTTAAAATAAAATAACTTTTCAGACCATCACTTACATTCTCATTCGCGTGCGGCAGCTGTTTTAAGATTAAGTGAAACGGACAAAAAGAATCTTGATTAATTCTAACAAAGAAAGTGCTGCTAAGTGTTTAAGTCCCTATAACACTGGGACGTCTTAATGCTGAACAGCATCAGCATTCAACTAAAAAGATGCAACTTGTACACTATACAATCGTTAATGCAAATTGGCTGAAGTCGAATGCATCAGTATTTATTTTTTTCAAAATTACATTAAAAGTAAATGTTTAAAAATGTTTTAGTATGGCAAACTTTAAATTTATTAATATAATCCACTATAAGTAGAATGTTTCTGATACCTAACACAAGTTAGGTATCACAAACATTCTACATATAGTGGAATCTTCCATTGCTTGAATTATCCAACTTCCAATGCAGAAACGGAAAGGGTATTTTCATTTTAAAGACAAATAATTCTAGTGATGGCCAAAAGGTTTCTAACAAAGGGTTAGAAAGTATTCTCAAAATGCGCAAGAAGATTTGACGAAACGTTTTATAATCACCCTGAAGGGAGGGGTAGGGGTATTGGAAAGTGTAACCAAATATCACGCGGGTGGTTTGCTACAGTTTGACGTCACAAATAACATTTTA